AAGCAGTGAATGAATTCCTTGTTTTGCTTTGCTTGCGTGCGCGGCTTTTGCTTTACCTATTAAACTGCCTTTATCTCAACCCACGAGTTTTCTCACTTTTACCCTTCCGATTCTCTTCCCCATCCCACCAGGGGGGAGTGAGCAAGCGGCTGCGTGGTACTTAGTTGCTGGTTAAACCACAACAAATAGTTTTGTTGAATTTGCGAAACTTAAGTCACAAGCCAAGCATCAAAAATTAAGTCACCAAAAAATAGAAGCCATTCTTCAACATGTGGCCATAGGTGTTCAGCAACTACTTTGTCCAGGCTAATGATAGGGGGGTTTACCATTTTTGAAACTTCAGCTTAAAGAATTAGCTCCTTTCTGCCATTTATGCTATGCAGAAACTTTTTGTTCCCATTTAAAAAAGATATTTAATAAAAATAAATAAAAATACATTGCCAGTATTTGCTGGACAATGGTTAATCTCACTTGGACGCATCCTTTAAATTAAATATTCAAGAGACAAAGCTATCCAAATTAATTTTCAATGACAATTTCTTACAAAAACTAGGCTAATGCATTACCATTTAGTTACAAGACTACAAACATGAGGCTGGCCCAAAGCCCACTAATGTGAATGGAAAATCTCACACTAACTTCAAAGGACTTGGGATCAGTCCCTATAATAACTACATGAAGAACATTCCATTTTGGGAGATGCAGCTACATAGCAGCGGTTAATAAAGTCTATGTGTGTTTTTAGTGGTTGGAACTTTTTTCAGGAAAGAGTTATACTGGGAAACAAATAGATTCAACTGCCTAACAGGCAATTAAAGGGAAAAAAAAAAAAAAGCAGAAGGTCATAAAGTGCCCAGGCCCTCAAGGTATCAGAAGACTGGGAGGAACCCCGTATTATGCCACACTAATCTAACAGAAAAACCTCACCATCGTAAGAATTTTCTAGGTCTCAAGCTGTAAAGTTAATTTTACTGTAATCTTTTACAACGCATTTAGAGATGAACATGCTCAGCTGGCATGCAGTTACTGCCACTGAAGCTGGCCAGCGCTGTGCATTCAGAACGGGTGGCTGCACTTCCTGCAAGCTCCTGCCTTTGGCAGCAGGAGGAAGCTCTTCAGTGACCGTTTGCATCACCCCCCACCCATGACAGTGGACGCTGTCACCTTCTAAAGAGAACCAAAGATGGCATTCACAAAGGATGAACACGTTACTTAAATTACACCCCTCAGCGAAAGGGTTATTAAAAAAATATATGCTATTTACATACTTACAGAACTCATTCAGAGCAGAGCCAATTTCTGAATAATAAAACGGGTTATCTTTATTATACGAAATAATCATTAAATGAAAAAAAATGCAAAACCCACTTCCATTTCTTTTAGGAAATTTCTGTATGGGCCTTCTTCCACATCCTTCAAATTAGACACTATCTTTTTGAATAAGGAAAAAGTGTTCTCAGGCAAGGCTCAAGTCACCTGCAGGTTTGTACATCTTCAATCCTGTTTCCATTATTTCAAAAATGTCATTCTTTCCCTTTTTCTGAATTCAATTATTTCACAAAGAGCAAAGTAATTTGGCTAAAGGCCTATACAAAAATAAACTATTAATGCTGGCTGTGTAAAGTAAGGAAACAAAAACAATGAGAAAAATATTTTCCTGTCTAGTCATTTTTCAGTAAGAAGAGTTTAATTTGTTTCTTGAACCGATGAAAGACAAAATTTCTGACAAATTGTGATTTTTAAGTTGATGGAACTGACTGAAGCATAAACTGCATTTCCTTCTTGGTAGCCATTCGAAGTAACTACAAAATCTGGTATAATGGTAACTGTACAAATTAATCTGGATAGAAAAAAATGAAATGCGTTCTAAATGCCAAATAACAAAACAGCAAATATTGGACTCACTGTTATTCAAATTATTACATCAGAAACTAATTTCATTCATAAGTTTTAAAAGTACAAGTTATTTTACGCTAACTAAAATCTACACCTGAAATTTACATTATCTCACTATCAAGTTGCAGCTGGCAGTTAACAGAAGACCTGATAATATTTAAAAACAAATCACGAGAGATAACTAGATGGGAAGAATAGGCTATGGAGAGAGTAAATCCAGGTTAAGTTTTCTGTTTGTTAAAGACAATTAATAATGGGGTTAAATCGCAAGTTAAGTTGCTATAGTCAGAGAAACAACAGCACTTCTGCCAAACCTTTAAAAAAAAATTAAAAGGCCAAGGATCTAAATGCAGGAAACTTTTTCATTACCACTATGTTCAACAAACTTCTATTTTACAGAAATAAAGATAACATAAAGCTAATATTCAGCACTCAGGTAATATTTCCTGCTAAATGACATGCAAAATAAAATCAAAATATCATTGTCAAATTGGAAAATGCATTTGTAACTGTACAGAAAAGTAGCTTCTTAATCCAGTATACTTACATTATTGCATTCTCCCAGGAAATACAGTGCAAATCCATCAGCTTTTGTAGCTGCCAAAGCAATAATAAAAGAAATAATTGTACTTACAGGGGAAATCGAACTTACACAACATCTCTGAGGTGAAACCACAGATTCAATTCCACTTAGGACAAACATCTAAAATTCTAAAGGTGAAGGTCTATTGCTGTCTCCCTTGAAACTTCCCAGACTCTACAAAGTTAGAGGTATGAGATAACTCTTGTTTTCCCCCATCATCACTTACTACATTCTAAAAGATAATTAGAAACAACCTCTTTATACATCTTATTCCTATTCCAAGGCCTAATGTCTGTAAATTCAAATTAATTCATATGACAGTAGAGAAGTAAAATAAGAACATGTATTTACAGTATAATCAGCCAGACAACATTACATTTCCATGAGTAAAATAAATACCATTCGTAGATGGTAAGCTATATTTGTCCTTGCCTTAAGATAGAAAATTATGGGAAAATAAAATTTTGCAAATATTGCCATAAAAATGTATTTCAAAACAAACTGTTTCTATTTTCTGCACCTGCCCCATATTAAAAACACTGACACTCACCAGAAAGTTTATACTTGTCAGATTTCTGCCAGATTCAGATTGTTGTATGAAACTGGGTAAAGTCCAGTTCCTTAAACTCTCAAATGTTCAAAGTCAGCCAACCATCATAACTTACTACTAAAATGAAAACTCTCAAAATCAGAAGAGGATATAGCAATCGATGTTTTTTACCCTGCTTTACACAATAGACTTTGATACTTTGAGCATAAGTCTGTCTTTCCAACAGTTAATATACATTCTAACCAGTAAATGTACATATCCGATACCTGTTTTTTATGAATGAACACAAGAATCCATTTAGTACGTTTCAGGTAGTGATTATACTTGTGTGTGATCAAATCAATTGGCTTTCTGCATTTCTTTGACAAAAGGAAAAAAAACCCACTGTGTAGTTACTTGCTTATTGTCAACTGTGAAACACCAGTGAGAGTTCAGGGCATGGTAACGTGCATTCAGATTTTAAATCCTTCAGCTGCAGTATGTAAGCACATTGAGTTACGAGGCAAATGAGCACTGTAAAGGAAATATAACAAAAAAAAAAACCTCATCTGCTTAACAAAAGAAAAAAAATTGTAAAAGATAAGCAGACCCTGTCTCCTATAGCTTCTTGCTTGCCGCGTATTAACAAAATCCAGTCTGATTTGCTGTGAGCTGGACATCAATATCCAAATAACCACTTAAGCAAAATCAGTAAACAGAAGTGGTCCTTTTAAAACATCATGTATATAAACCAGAACTATTACTCATCATTACAAAATGATGAAGTAGCAGGGACGGTAAAACCTTTCTAAAGAGTTGACTTGAAAGCTATACTTAACAAAGCTATTGATACTTCCTATTGAAGTCTGAGTACATCCACTCTGGCTAAAAAGAAGCCGAATTGCACTTATTTGGAATTATTTTTTTGTTTTTATTTTTTAACTTTTGATCATGTATAGTATTTTCTTACCACAAAAGGTACTTACATCAAATAGAAAAAAAATGGTTAAACAACTGAACGTAATTTGAGATCACGCAAAAGATATGCCCTCCTTCAGTAACATCTCAGTTCTGTTTCAAAACGAGTTCAAGTATGCAGTGATATTACCGATAGATTTTTTTTTTTTTACACTTTCAATATTGCCATTGCAACACCATCGTAACCAGAATAGTCTGTTCTTTGGTTCAGGGGACTCTAATTTTGCAATTGGATACACAACTCTCTCCAAAGATGAAATTCACTTAAGTGCAGTCAGGGATTCACTGAGGGACAGAAGGTGAAGTAAGTTCATACTGAGACAACATCCAAAGGAAACACTGTTATCCCTCAATACCTGTCTTTATTAATTAAACCACATATGAAATGGGCTGTGCACTGATGCTAAGTAACAGCTCAGAGATATCTGATTCTTTCTTACCTATTTTAATGATGCTGCTCAGTTCATACAGAAGTAGTTGGTTATCTCCTCCTGTATCCAGGCGCTGTTCTATGTAGCTGTTCAATTCGTACACAACACCTTGCATATTCGTATCCTGGTACTACGGAAGCAAGGACGAGAAGAACATTTTAGAATAACTCAGATGTATTTTGCAGGTTTTAAACATACAAATTCATTAAAAATAATACGTTGAGATTTCAGTACCAAGTCAATCGTGACTGTCCTAATCCAGCTGCCTGAAGAACTGGGTCACTGCCAAGTGAGAGGCACAGCACTCCACTCTATGCTCCATTAGACATTTGTTCAAAGCGTACCGAGTACACCACTGAGCAATTAATAATCACCTAAACTTGGCCAAGGTCACATGACAATGTCTCAAGAAGAAACTGAGAGATGTGACAATTAGAAGGTAAGTAGCCTTCAACTCCTTCCTTTTAAGCTCCTGCTCCACCACAGAAGGAGGCAACTAGCTGCCTTTGCCAGCATCTTCCACCTCAAATTCATGAACCAAATGACAGAACTGTGCCAAGCACCAGAGCTTTGAGGTGGTAGCTCAAGGAGCTCAGCCTTTCAAATACAGCAGCAATTAACACCAAGAGACTGAAGGACAGAAACCGCAAGAGTCAAAATCATGCTAGCCGCTGTGGCCTAATAGGCATTTGTTTCAACTGAAGACAGCAGATAAAGCCAGAAAGAGATTACAAATCAGTTAGGATATTTAGATGGGAGCAATGGGGTGCTGGTTGCTGGCACGATGAAACAGCATGACATGGCTAAAATCTCATAGGAAAGGAGATGCAGCCTCCCTTCAGGGGCCCAGCTGCATTTGGTTATCCAGTTCCTGAGTCCTGAAACCAAGTCCTGAAGGGCTGATAAAACTGGCAGTAAATGTGCACGTGTAGCACGACAGCATCACAAACAATAATTTCACAGAAAGCAATACTTGGCAGTAAGTAAAGATTCATTACCCTGCCCAAAACTGGTAATGTGGTAACTGAAGAAAGTAATATGGTCAATTACTTATTGAACTCAGTGACGCAGTAAATTATATTGCTTAAACTAAAAATGAAGCTGGTGATATTTAGACAAATTACTGTTGCTTGAAAGACTAAGACTTATTCTCCTGCTTATTCATACTTTAGAGCCAAATGTAATATAGACCAGATTAATGTAAACAGTACTATAGAAAATAAAAAACAAAACAAAAGCAAAACAAACAAACAAAAAAAAAAGGCAAAAAAACAAACTCCACCAACAAAAAACCCAAATGCTTGCTGGATAATATCAATTCCCGATTCCTTTAAATTAAGCAGATCTTAATCTTGACTTTAAAATGGCTCCTGAGAACATACAGTCTTTGCCATGACCCCTTCTTAACACATGGTGTTGTATTAATCTATTGCTCCAGATGGACATATTAGAACATTTGAGACCTAGGGTGTCCAAAATGTTCTCAGTGTAACAAATACTTAATAATTCTTTCTATAAATTGATGTGATGATTATAAATTTTGACAGCGATGTAAGGTCACACTGCATACATGCATAAACTGCTCTAAGTCTTGAGTTTACAATACCATTATTAGCACCGTATGGCAGCTGGCAAGCTTCCACTGACTGTCCTCTATTGTGTCCCACATTTACTACTGTATGATTCTTCAAAGGGAGAAAACAATAGCATAGTTTCATGAAAGTGGAATTTTTATACTTATGATACAGTCGTAAGTAGCCATATAACAGGAGAATGGTGAACGAGAGTCTATATTATTCATACATGTTAACCCATATCTGCAAAAGTATGTGTAGCCACATATCCTAAAGCAACAATAGCTAATCAAGCACACACACACAAAGCCTTTATCATGTGGAAAAATGCCTTCTCAGAACTTGGAAATGAATATATATCTCTTCGCCTGTGATGCACAGTCAGGATTTAAATCAAATCTTCAAAGGTTAAAGCTAATACATTAAGAGAACACATCATCAAAATGAGCCCACTGGCATAACAGCCGTGGCAGAATAATAACTTTCCCCGTAATCAAGCAGCAGTTCCGCGTGCATAGTAATTACATAATAAGCTATGTGCCCTTTACCCTCAGCTCTGCAACATATGCCTGCAAACATTTTGTAAGCAGCGCAAATCATTGCATGCATCCATGTTACTAAAAAGATGGTAGCTGCATAACACATACAGTTGTAATACGGCAGATTTCTATTACTGACAATCTGTGGATCCACAACTGGCCAGATGAATAGAATTTGTCCAGATTCACAATTAAGTAATTCTATGACTTAGATCAATCACCAGCAAAGAATTACTCCATCATGCTGCAGAATGGTTTTATTTTTATTACAGTGGAGTGAAAGAGGCTTATTTATTTGGTTCTAGGCATTTTAGATTGGATAACCACAATTATGTTTGGTTGAAAAGCCACAATATTCTTTATGAAACCGTTTGTTTAAACACTGAGTAAGTCATCAGCAAACCTTGGTACAAGCACTATCCAATGCGGTTGCTAACACAGACGTGCGCATATTTGGTGTAAAACTTACTTTAGGAAAGTAACTCCTCAAAAGAATTCGACACACTCAGTGGAAAAAAAGTATTTCTTTGTCATCAGAGATAGCTAAGTACTGTTTCTTAATTTGTTATGGTAATTTAGTTTGCAATTTAAACATTATTAATACTCAAATCCTTTTACTTAATTCATTCTTCCCATTGCTGATTTCCTTCTATTTAAGATTCAGTGTCTACAAGTATATTGGCATATTTACTGTAAAATTCTGAATTTCAGCGACATTACATTGAAATAATTCAAGTGGAATAAAAACTGGTTTAGCACTATCATACCACTATCATACTGGCATCATATTTCTAGTAGTTGCATATATTATAATGCTATGAAAAAGAACTAACAATTAAGGAGGAAAATCCTGTTATAAATATTCATATTCAAATTTATAAATATGAAAGAAGGACGTTTTTGCAGGATTTATAGAAAAATATTTCTATGGTTATTTGTCTTTAGAATATTGTGGTGCAATAGAATACAGCAACGCATGGCAGGTGATTTAAGAATAGTGCTGTGACTTAGTTCTAAACAAAGAGGGTGAGAATCACAAACATTTTATTCCATGAAAGGAGATACTGAAATACCATAGAGTGAGATGAATTTTAAGCATTCATTCTGAACAATTAAGACACCTCCAAAAAAAAAATATTCAAGGACACAATTTAATATCTAAAGTAAATTTTATGTATGACAAACTGAAATGAAGATTAATTTCCATGCTTTCATGCTTATAGGGTAGCTGCGCCAGGGGCATTTTATGCTCCTGCAGAAAAGAAAAAGCCCTTCTGCTGCAACAAAAAGCTTTCATTAATACAGCACAGGGTCAATAAGTGCCAACATAATCCAGAAGTTTATCTGTTTTCTCTGTAACTTCTTAAAATGTCTTCTGAATAGCAATGAGAAAAGCAAGTTCCTATGTGATACTTTCTCCCTACTCTACAGAGCTCTTTCTCCACAGCAACAATTGCCTGGTTCTGCAACAGAAACATGCCCTTTACAGACCTCATAGTGTATGACATTATCACAGGTTAGGAGGAGTTAGAATAAATGAACAGTCCAAATTCCATGTAATGTGCAGAGGGATGGCCAAAAGTACTTTGGGGACGCAGAACTTCATTGGATGAGGAGAGAAAAAAAAACCAAACCGAACTGTGAAAGCCAGAAAATGTGGGGGGAAGTGGCAACATCCAGAGAGATTCCTCTTGATGTTGTTTAGTTTTCAGCTGTAATTTAGACATCTTAGGCTGGTTTCAGAGGATGTCAGAGAGAACCACAAGACAGAGCTCTCTGTCAACTGATGCAGGCAGCCTCTAGACAACCACAGGGCTATGAGGGCCAGAGTAGTACCACCTTCTGGGAGGTGGCTGTAAAGTCCTGTTTCGTTACAGGCTCAATGGAGAAGGACAGCACAGGCGTTTTGCCCAGGAAACGGGAGAAAGTGCTGACCTGTCGTATCAGTATGCCTTGGAAACAGACTTTTGGGAAAGCAGGGACCAATTCTTCTAGCAAGCATCAAGCATTTTCTTAAAAATTTTCAAGGCTCCTTGCCCACCCTTTCAAGTATTCTCAGACTGAAATGTAGAGAGGCTCTAGGAAAGCAGTATGGATCTTCATAATCAGTGCTTCAGGTCCAGCCCCTGGTGCCATCCCAGGCTTCCCCTATTTCATTTGCTATGCGAGAGGAGCTGGGAGGCGAGGGGCGATGCCTGACTCTCACCATTGTGCAGGCTGGCTGGACAGAGCGTGCAATGAGGACATCAGCAGCGCTGAGCGAGCTAAGGTTATACATGTTGTGTCCAGTGCCACCCTATCCATTTGCAAGGCACTCTAGAGGTGTCAGAGGGGCCACACCATGGATAGGTGTAGGCTATTCTGTCCCAGGGCACTTGAAACTGAGGCCATAAATGTAATCTGAGACCAGGATTAGGATCTGTTGGGACAAACAGAGGCTCTTGTAAGGAGGCTCAGTTGTTGAAGGGTGCTAAATTACTAAGAACAAAGGATGTACATAGGCCAAGGAGATTGTATATAGGCGGGGGAGTTTCAAATGCCTATTCTCTCTTTGGTTACATCAGGTAGTATTTCAGACAACCAGCTAATGCTTCATCAAACCACCTAAATTAATCTGTCAATGACAGCATCAAGACTTGCAGATGGTGAATCCAAGTGATGCTGCACAGCACTTTATACAAAACGATGGCCTTAGGCAGGGACTGGATTTCACCACAAACACCTAAGTCATGAGATCTGAAATGTGACAACAACCTGCACCCAAACTTCTTCAGTCTACTCTTTAAAACTGACAGCTACTCCCTTCTCTATGAAGCATACTACAGAACATAAGCAGCTGCTAAACCCAAAATGACCAAAATATCCTGATAAACTTCCAGCCAGCGTAAGTTTTCTTTCCTGTAAAACTATAGTCTCAGCAACAAGAGTCATCAGGGAACAAATTGAAAGATGAACTAAAAAAACCTTCAAATAAAAAAAAAAAGTGCATTTGTTTGCAGTCTTAATGGTCTGAACAT